GGTAGATGCTTGCAAAATTCCACTAATGTTTGCCTTCTGACTAGAGTACAGATCCAAATAATGTTTGCCTTCTGACTAGAGTACAGATCTGAACAAGGATTATGTTTCAAGTATAAACCAAAACAATATTTCCCTTTTTCTTATTAAATTATAATAAAAGTAAAAATTAATTTTGACATTAAATAATTCAAAAAGGTTGATATACTAATTTAAAATTTTATGTTGAGAACATAAGTGCCTTAATAAAAAAAAAGTTTAGGTTCATTAAAACATGTTGAACATTACATAGGCTTTAAAAACATTATATTTATTAAAAAAAAAAAATATTTTGATAGCCCACCTTTGATAAATAGTAGTCATGCAAAAAAAGATAAAAGTAATCTGTAAATGTTTATATGAATATGAAAGAAAAAAATTGAATTTATGAATATGTGAATTAAAATTACCTGAGTAACATTAATATTTAAAAGTGGAATTTGCCTATTTCACCAGTGAATTTTTAAATACTTTTTTACATAAAATTTGTTTTAGAAATTTATCACTCTTGAAATTCAGAAAGAAATTTCCAATAATGCAGACATTACTAACAGAATAGATAAATTGTATGTAAAATACATTGCTAATGATTTACTACAGTAACACACTGGGAATGATTTCAATATAGAAATGTGCTGGCAATGATTCCCATATAGAAAGACATTCAAAATGATTCTATTTTAGAAATGCACTGAAAAACAGGATAAAAAGGGGCATATATATTAGTCAAAAGTATGGCTTATGTTACTGTATGTAAATGTATATACTTAATTTTACTGCTAAATTTTATCTGAAAGTATACACAAAGTGTCTTCTAAAATAAAACCAACACAGCATTATCCTAAAAATAACAATGAAAACATGTCATGGTTTTCTAATCCATCTTTGTCTCCAGCATTACAATGGTAAATGTAGAAAATAAAACTAATGAATGGAAAAAGCAAAGCATCATGATATTGACAACTGTAACAGCAATGATTTTAATCTTGTCTTATATTACATAATATACACTCAATTATTGATGTCTTGCCTGACTGCTGGTTAAAATGACCTCTTAGGTACTAAACTTGGTTTCATGGCATTGGAGAGTGCAGATCAATTGTTCAAATAATTTTGAGACTGTATTTCAAACGTAAATGTATATTTTTCTATAAGCCTTTGACATATTCTGGATTTTGTTCATCAATATTTCTACTATAAATAGAACCGCTTACTTACTGTGTTTTATTCTGCTTACTCAATGCTATGAAAATCACTTGTTTTCATTACTATTCTGAGATATTCAAATCAGTATCTTCATCAATGTTGTTTTTATTGTTTTCAGATTTTCTCAGTCATTTAAAAAATGAAAATACTTTGATACAATCACCACAAAAGAATTTATATCTATGTACCTTTTTGTTGTGAAAAAAGGGAATATTCACATGTTTATGAACATATATGAATTAAAATCACTCTCATAACATTTAAAAGTGGAATTTGTTTTTTAACCATTGAATTTTTTTCCTTTATCTAAAATTTGTTTTAGAAACTTTCACCACAGTATTCTGAGCACTGAAATTAATGCAAGAATTAATAATAGAATAGGGAAATTATATGTAAAATACATTGACTAAGGGTTTACTAAAAGAAATGCACTGAGTATGATTTGGTGTGGGAATTCATGGGGTGAGATTCTGTCATGGCAATGCACAGGCTAGAATTTTGCTGTGACAATGCACAGAATTTTGCACAGGAAGGCAATGGGTAGGATTCTACCATGGGAATGCACAGGGTAGGATTTTGCCACAGCAATGCACTGGATAGGATTTTGAGGCGGGAAGGCAATGGGTAGAATTTTGCCATGGGAAACCAATGGGTAGGATTTTGTCATGGGAATGCAACAAGTAGAAATTTGCTGTAAGAATACATGGATTATGATTTTATAAAGCTTGCAGTATATTCTTTTTGGATTTTTTTTTAAAAAGAAAAAAGACGGTTACATGAAATACAATATATTTTCTCATATCAATAATATGGTGTAATTAAATGAGAACACCCCACATGATCAGTTTAGGACATGTCAGCAGGTGTTTATATGGATTTGTTTTTTTGTTTTGTTTTATGGCATATCAACCTCAATGGGTTATTTAAAGCCAACAAAATTTTTGTTGCTGGTAATATTTTTTCCGTCAAAAATCTATTTTTGGTAATATTTTTTTCTTCAAAAATGTACCGCTGGTAATTTTTTTTCAAAATGTATTGCTGGCAATATCTTTTTTTTTTTTTTTTTAAAAATGTATTTCTGTTACTAATGAATTGCTGGTAAAAAATTTTTCTCCAAAAATTTATTGCTGGTAATAATTTTTTTACAAAAAAGTATTTCTGGTATTAAAACCTATTTTTACACTTTTATAGTATTTTGACCCCAGTTTGGGGGTTAACTATTTGTCCATAGCTGGGACCCTAACAGGTGCTACCACCCCAAGTCAGGGTGGACCTGGGAACACCAGCAATTAAGAGATGGTTCTACACTCCTCAAAACCTCCTGATCAGAGGCCTTGCTGTTGGACGTAGTTTATTGTCATACCCAGGACACTATATGAATTTGGTCAAGGGTGGCATATATAAAACATTCATACTAGCATTCACACTCAGCTATATCTTGGAATATTTTTTAAAAAAAGAAACCTTTTTCTTTATTTAACTTTTCTTCGTCAAAAAGAGCAATAAAATACTGGGCCATATTGCATTTTTCTTCCATTGCAACCGATGATCCTTGCCCCAACCTGTTTATATTACAAGATATAAAAAACAAATTTTAGTATGGTAGTAAATTTTATCAGTTTAGTTCTTCACACTGAAAATATTATCTCATTCTTGTATTAAACTCCTGTGATAAATATGATAGGTGTTTCTTCTAAGCATTATGCACAAGAAAAAATTATGTTGTATGTGTAAAATTTTAATGGCATGTATTAATTTTGAAGGTTTCAGATAAAGAAGTCCATTTTAAAATGCGTTAGCTTTCCAGGACATAAGAAATCTGTGCAGAACCATGAGTGCCTTTCTTGGCACTACTTGACTGGCTTACTCACCACACTGCCACTCACCCAACTCTAGGTAGGTCAAGTCCAGAAGCACTTCCCTATATCAAGGTCTTTTGTTATTATAAGTAGCAAGAGATTTTATTAATTCCAGTTTGCTAGCTCTGACTGGTTCACTTGAAAAACAAAAGGAAGATTTTGTGGGGTGGGGCAGGGGAATAATGTTTGTAGATTTGCATTCATTAGACTTTCTTCAAACTACATTTGTCAGAATAAAAAATACTGGTATTTTATCAATTTAGAACGGTGGGGGGCTATTTATAATATAAATATGATATCACATTGATCCTTGACTTGAAGTTTGTACTTAGTTCATTGAGAAATGCATGCAACTAATGTCCTTTTTCTCTATTCATAAAGTATGCATCTGCCATCTGGTGGGAAAAAGCTTGGCTCACAATACTACAGTGCTTTTCAAAGGAATATTTGTTCTTCACTAAAAAAATAAATGAATACGTATATAAGAGGTCTGCTGAGAAATGATTCAACCATTTAATGAAAAAAAAAACTGTCAAATTAAGTGTGTATATCAAAATAGAGAGAGCAGTGTGACAAGGATGCATTTTCTTACTAGAATTATTTAACCTATACAAGCAAAATGATTCTAAGATAACTTGAGACAACCTATAAAGATTTATTATCAGTGAATGCAACCTTAAAATACACTACACAGATGACTGTGTTGATGGCAAAATTGGAAGAAAGCTGAAAGAACTATTAGACAAGAAGGTGAGAATAGACAAATGTCCATTAATTCGAAGATGACAAAATGCATGGTATGATAAGCAAAAAGAGACACTACAAGAAGGGAAACATAAAATGCAAACATATGCAGTAATTCAATAGTCTGGTAAGGTTCACCCTGTAAAAGGCCCAGGGGCCACTCAAGATAGAGGGTTACATTAAGGAATAGTTTATATGGATAGGAGGGGAAGATTTGAACAGGTTAAGATTGTAGTGATTGGGAAAACATCTTCTTGGGAGTTTGTTCCACAGAGCAGTAGTTTTCTGGAAGAAGCTGTTTGAGCAGAACTTACTTCTCACCATTGGAATACATAGGGAAGGTAGGTGGTTTGTTACAATGTAAATGGCATGGTGGGTCCTCGCTGTAAAGGTTAGACCTGGTGGAATCAAGAAATGTAGTTCGTCCAAGCACTTTCCATGAAAGTAGCAGTGAGATTGTCATGACATTGCGCCTGTGAGAGAAAGGTTGGAGGATGGAAATTCAAAGGTTTATAATGAAAGGCCTTAAAAATTGGATCAGGCACTAACAGACTGAATATTAACAGAAATGAGTAAAAGAGTTCTATACTCTTATGTGATACTTACCCTCCTATGATATGGAAGTGAAGGGTGGACAATTTTGTCAGAAATGGAAAAAACAAAAAAGATTTCAAGTAACCGAGATGTGGTTCAGTTGACAAATATTGAGAATACCACAGACAGAGCATGCAACAAAGAAGGAAGTTTTAAGAAAAATAGGAACTACAAATAAAATGTTGATAACCATCAGAAAGAGATGGCTGAAACTTTGAAGACACAAAGGCTTGAAGAATTTAACACTCACAGAAAGGTTTGAATGATTGATTTGTTCTTTTATGGCTTTTGAAGGTTATTTAAAGCCAGAACATTTTTTGGATTGTAATTCTTTTATTTTTTGCTAGGGAATACTGCACTAACAATTTTTGAAGATAACAGTGATTCCCAGATAAAGTCCCAATCCTCAACTCATAACTGATGGGAGAAAAGGTGGACTCACAACCTTCTCAAGGGCATCCATGTGCAAGTGAATGCAACAAAACTGAGCAGAACCCAAACTTGACTCTCCAACCTCCCACTTCAAGCCACCATCCATTACACCAGCTGCACATCCAGTCTTACTGCACCTGGTATTTCCAGGTGGTCATCCATCCAGGTACTGACCAGGCTTGATGTTGCTTAACTTGATGATTAAATGAGAACTGGTGCTTCAACATGATATGGCCACAACCCAAGAAAAGCAGAAGAGAGCAGCAAGTAACCTACTTGCAAAAGTTTAAGCAAACTGATGAAGAAACAAACTACAAAGAGAAAATGGGATTATAAAAGAGAGATTATTGCTTAGAACAACAAAGACAGGAGGTTGTGGAGAGTCATAATTGCTCATGCCCTGAAGGGATACAGAAACTCAATAACAAGAATGCTATCTCTTTAAAAATCACTCTCATATACATAATAATAATAATAATAATAATAATAATAATAATAATAATATAATGCTCTGTAGTCTACACTGAGCTCTCCCTGGATTAATATCCTCCTTGGAATTATCCGTACCAGTCAAAAACACTGGTAATTATATATATATATCTATATATATATATAAGACAGACAGAGATATGAGGATCGGCTGAAAACTTAATAGGCTAACCAGGATACTCTCATGAAATGTGACCAAATGCAGTTTATTTTTCAGCATAGTCCCTCTTTCAGACCACACACTTCTTTCATTGGTGTTGCAGTGCTTGGATCCAATAGAGATGAAGCTTTCATACTGTTGGTCTAAAAAGATATCAACAGCAGATATGACGTCGTCATCACTGTGATGCTGGTTTCCAGCCAATTGTTTTTTCATGTTGGGGAACAAATGATAATCAGATGGGGACAAATCAAGAGAATAGGGAGGGTAATCAGCCAATTCAAAGACACAATCACACACAGCAGCCATTGAAACCAAGGATTTTTGTGATGGAATATTGTCCTGATGAAACAAGACTCCTTTCATCAGTTTTCTTGGGCATTTGGTCTTGATAGTCATTCATATCTGCCTCAGCAAATTGGAATAGCACTCTCTATTGATGGTGTGGCTCTTTGGAAGATAGTCAAAAAACACAATGCCTTTTGCAACCCAAAAGACTGAGGCCATCACCTTCTCTGATTCTTTGGGTAGGTGAGGAGGAGTGTTTCCACTGCATGGATTGTCTCTTTGAACAACTCAACACTCATTCTAAATTAGGAAACATTCACAGAAAACAGCTGTATCTGCCTCAAACAATGTCAGATTTTCTTGTGATGTGATCAGCCTGGTGTGCTTTTTATCAGGTGTCAAAAGACATGGCACCCATCTAGCAGAAACCTTCATCATGCCAAATCCATTGCGCAGAATATTCTCAACTCTCTCATGGGATATGCTAATAGCATTGACTGTTAGATTTATAGTCAGTCACCTGTCATTCATCACCATGTGGTGAACATGATCAATGTTTTCCTTGGTGGTGACAGCTGTAGGATGTCCAAATATCTTTTTAATTTTATTTTTTAGATGAAGAATTGTCAACTATTATCATTAATCTTGGTTTTTATTTGATTTTATCACAACTTATTCAAGCATTCAGTCTATGGTAGCAAGCAAACAGCATACATTAAAAATAATTAAGTGCTTCTGTTGGGACTCAAACATATGTCCCCTTTGATTTAAAGTTAAGCATCATCAATCCTGGTCGGTAGATAGATGGGTGACATCTTGGGAATATCAGGTGCTATAAGCTTGGATGTGCAGGTGGCGTAATAGATAATGGCTCAGAATTGTTAATTGTAGAGTAGAGTTCTAATTCTTGTTGGGTTTGTTATATTCACTTATGCATAAATACCCTTAATAGCATTAACTACAAGTTAATTAGTAGGACTTACATCAGTAAATTATTATTATTACCTTTTTAAAAAAAAAAAAAAAAAAAAAAAGAGCTTACACACTAAAAATATTTTCTGTCTTTAAATAACCTGCAAAAGATTAATAAACAATAAAAATCAAATCAACAAACCAAGAAAGGCTAATAACCGTACCAGCTGATCTTACTGTCCAAACTACAGGGAACTCTATAGTTGGCAGGTTATCTCTCTAACATTTAAAATTTACCCCTCATTATTTCTCATTCAGTACCATATTTTTTATTGCTTTTACACAAGTAATATTAGTAGCAACAATATCATCTATTATTTTCATTTTTCTAAAATTTTGATGTTCATCAAAATAGTTTTAAAATGAATTTTTACCCCCTCCACTGGTGGGGGTAAAAATTAACAGGCGGAAGGGGATGTTTATTTGGTATATGTGAGTACTTGGGGAAAAATTACAAAAACAAATATAATCCTGATTGAAAATGTAAAAAAGTTTAAAAGGCTAGACTTTGTTGCCTGCAAACTATATAGTTCTCTGTAGCTAATATAATAAGGGCAGCTGGTACAGTTAATCAGATTTCACTATGGTGTTATTTTTGATCTGCACTGTTTGTTCTTTACTGTAGATTGATGACACAAATAATTTGTAATAAAAAACAAGTAGAAAATAAGATGAAAGAAATACTTGTCAAGTTAATAATAATCTCCCATGAATGTTTCTTTAAAAAGTAGTATTTCAGTCTGAAATGAATATCATTTATTGTAATTATCACAAATCAAATTTCGTCTATTAATTTGAGAAAGCCAAAATCAGTTGCGATCACCCAAGAAAGGTTTTAGATGGCTACACCTATGATCAAGTTACAGAATGAGATTGGTATCGCTTGGATGGGACAGAGGAGGAAAGCTAAGGAAAACAGAAGGAGGTGGAAGTTGATTGAGAAGGGAAAGCAGACTGGTAGAAGGGGAGCATAATTAGAAAGGGAGAATAAAGAAAGATTGATAAAAAAAAATAAAAAAATGGGGGTACAATTGATAGGGAAAACCCAGAGATGGATCAAAAGTGTGGGGAAAACTGAAAAGACAAAATGTAGGGAGACATTTGAATAGAAAGGTGGGAGTGACTGAGGGGAGAGAAAAAAGATGAAAGATTAGTAGAAGCAGGACACAGGGGTCGGGGGTGATGAAAACAGTGGATGAAAAGCTAGAGTTTAAAATGAGTCAATATAGCAGAATGTGTTTATAAAAAAAGGAAGAATGAAGAAAAATAGAGAGGGTGAGGAGTTAAAATTGGTAAAAATCTGGTGAAAAATAAACTAATCTAGAAAAGTGAGAAAAAATAAGATTTGAGTCAGTCTTATAGTTCTCATGTCAGGTGCTAAGAACAACAAAGAGTAGGTGCAAAAAAACAAGTTAGGTAAGCTTATAAGAGAAATAAAATGCAATAAATAAATTAAAGAGGGGGAATTAAGAGAGATATAAAACACACACCAAAAAAAAAAAAAAACTTAAAAACTGTAACTTTATAAAAAATTGAAGTGATGTGAGTGTGTTTTTTTTAACAATAACTTGAATGGTTTCTCTTGTAAAATTAGATCTCATAAAAGTGTCTAATAAGCTGTTGAACAACAGTGGCATATAAAAGAATACTGAATTAAATTATGCTCAACATTTGGTAATATCATGTGACTTAAATTTCTAAAACTATAATCTCCACCTACTTAAGATTTTGGTGTCTACTTCAATCTGAGAAAGTGGACTTTGTAACTGTGAAGCATTTCCTCCAAGTACCAGGCGTTTGTGTCTGAACTCAAATAAGATACCAGGATTTTTATTTTTTAGGTAGCCAAGTTATCTGTTCTCAGCACATTGTGTTGTGCCAACTTCTGTTTAGCTCCCTACCAAGACCATACCTATATTTTGGATTCCCCTTACTCCCTAACCAAATTTGCCTTGTGCTATTAAACTAATTTGAGGAGTCAGAGAGTTCAACAATAATATTAATTAGGTATATAACAAGACTCTTCTGTCTGTAATGGGGAGTTAAATACTTGAAATGCCTGACCTGTCAACTCTCCTGCTACCACTGAGAGACTCCTGGTTTTGAGTTCTTCATACCGGTTTGCCAGTTTCATTACTCAGTTAACTGTAAAGTGTTGATTTTCTGCCTAGTCTGACAATTTTTACAAGATTTTCTCTGTAAATAAATTAAGATTTCTCCACTAAAGAGCTGCTTCTTATTCAGTTTGTATGCATTCTGAAAATTATTTCACTATTTCAGAACATGATTCAGTGAAATTATTGCAGAGATAATAACGGACCAAATTGAGTTTTGTTTACAAGTGAAACATTATCCTGAAATGGGTTTTAATCCAAAACCATGTCATGTTAGAAATCTGTGAATTTGAAGAATGTTTTAAAGTTAATATTTTAGGGTTGTTTTTGAAATCCTTCTGTTTCTTCCTGTTTTTTTTTTTTTTTTGGTAAAATCTCCGTTTTTTTCTGAAGTTAGAGATCTAAATCTCCAGGTTTTAAACTTTTTAGATTGACAGGTCTGAAATGCAGAAACTTACTAGAACAAATTTTAGGTTGAAAATTGCAGAAATTCTATTCAAGAAATTGGGGGAGTGATGAAGTAGCAATAAAGTCAGTGAGTAATGCTAATCTGTACATATTTTTTAAATGCTATATCCCTTCAGGGTGGAGGTGATCATGGCTCTCTAAAGATTCCTTTTCTTTATTATCTGAAAATTGCCATGACTTTTAAGAAAGTGAAAGGGTTTCCTGTTGCCTTCTCCATGGTTTTACATTCATAGTCGTCTTCTAGATTTGTTGCCATCCAAGGTTATAGAGTTCAATATACTCTGCTATTTAAACCATGACTGGAGATGGAGAGGAGATAGATTCAGGTCTTTCCCAAGGAAAACAAATGCAACAGACTTGTCAAGAGTTTGAACTTCTTTTGTTCATTTCATGGTGTTGATAACTATTACAATACCTAAACATTCAGTGCCCATGCTTAAATGCAGTTAGTGTTAAATTATAATAATATTTTAGCCCTATATTTGAACTTGGTATATGTAATTTTTTTTTTAATGATTTCACCCCATGCAAGGTGGGAATACCACTAGTATACAGGGGATTACAGGGAGTGAAAGTGAGAGAAAAGACAGAGGATTGGGGAAAGGACAAAAGATGAACAGGATTCAAGATAGATAGTGATTGATGTTACATTTAAATTTTTGAAGATTGCTGTTGTCAAGGAAGCAAGTAAACAGAAAGGAGTTCCACAGGTGGAAAGTGTGAGAAAAGAAACAGTTGTAGAAGTGGCA